TATATATATATATATGGTGGACTCTCCCGTCGTATTCAGTGTATCAGGGTCAAGCAGCTCAGTTCCTAGGAAACGACAGCCCAGACACCAGTGCATATGATTTGATTATAGTGGTGAAGGCTTTTAAAGGGTCGAATACAGAGACCTGGTTCACTACGTGCCACAATTTTCCCAAACGACCCTCAGCATGTATTGAATTCAGAGTTGTCCTAGAAAAGTTGCCATCTAAGGCTATAGAATCCAGTCTATCCTGCCATTTACCCATAGCTGGAGGTATAAGAAGAGGATTCATACCTTTCCCAAGGGTATTAGCACGTAAGTGAATGTAATGGATTCGACTGGAATTCGAACTCGGTTCTTCGATTCCTCAATCCGAGTCGCTATCCACTACTCGACCGGATATATATGGTAAGTAATGGCAATGATGTGAAAAGCCTCTTTCTTACATGACCGAATAGTTAGTGTTAGTGTTGGTTGAAATTTTATAAAATATTTCTCTTAATAAAGTTTTCCGGGAGACAGTTTTTCTCAGCTCCATTAACTGTCATGTCGAATTCTCTTACAAATGCTGTTTTCTTTTACTTCTCTTTCTTGTTCGTTAAAGCTGTTTGGACGTCCAAGGTTTTCATTACGCCATTATTTTTCCTCGATGACTTCAGTAGAGAATTTTTCAGCTTTTTAAATGGATTAGCCGATATTCAAACTTTTTTTTTTGTATTAAGGGCTGTGATGAATGCAATTAATGCTCTATGTCAATGGCTTAGCTCTCTTTATATATAAATGAAATAAAAAAAAAATAACGTGTATTATTTTCCTTATATGTTCGTACCAAGATCACAAAAGAAGAGAAATTATTTACGTATACACAGGTAGCTCAATAAAAAGAAAGAAATATTTTTAACCATGAGACCGGGATCAAATCTCACCATAGTCGAATTGTCAGGAAGGAGGCTTCCTGAAATTATCGGAATGAATTGATCCCGGCATGTGGCACCTTTGGAAAGTGCCCACAAACCATACTACGGTTTGACACAAGCCTTGTGATTGAAATTGAAACTCTTGAGGTCCGTCGATAGCTGTGCTAGCACAAAGCCACAAGTCGTCGTGGCCGAGGGCTTGAGCGTGCTAGCCTTGTTCAAATTGTTGTTCACGCTAGATAACACGCTCTCTCCCAGAAACTCTAAGGTCTTCTGAGCATAGTTGCAGTATAAAAATACAGGTGGGCTCTGTTTGTGTTGAGAAAACACAAATGTCTGCAATAGGGATTGCTAGCCGCTCTAGTAAACGTGTATCCCCGAATACAGAGTGGCCATATATATATATATATATATATATATATATATATATATATATATATATATATATATATATATTATTGGCTAAAAACTAATATTCCATGGTTATAATTTATTCCATTGGAATCGTAATTACAATACAATTCATCAAACCTACAATTTCAAAAAAAAAGAAATCAGAAAAAATAACTCCGGGAATAAAAATAAAATTTTAAATTTGGTGAGAGTGTATATCTGAGTGAAACAGGCGAGTCAGTGTTTGAAATATATTTGTCCTTATCTATCTATCTCTCTCTCTCTCTCTCTCTCTCTCTCTATATATATATATATATATATATATATATATATATATATATATATATATATATATAGATAGATAGATAGATAGATAGATAAGACAAAATATATATCTATCTATATGTATATATATATATATATATATATATATATATATATAGAGAGAGAGAGAGAGATAGATAGATAGATAGATAGATAGATAGATAGATAGATAAGAACAAATATATTTTCACTTACAGGGTATGCAAATAGAAAATGAAGGCTGGTAAGAAATCAATATGTTGGACACCTTTAAACCAATACCATTCTTCGAGTCATCTTACCAATTCCATTTTTGAATGACATGTCACTGAATATTCTGACCTATTCATTATTGATGGAGATTAGAGTTCAGGTGGCTTTTGAAAATATTTCAAATATCCCCGTGGAATTTATTTTTCTTTTTATTACAAAGGCAATGAAATATGTATAGTTACTTTCTTCTTCGAATTTTCTCTTTATTGTCAGCCTTCGAAGTACCTTTTAAGGAAATATTTAACAGATAATATCCGCAAGAAATGTGTTGAAACGCCATGACGGTATCCTGGGTATGACGATAAATTAAACCCGGCAGTAAGATAACTGATCAGGAGGTTTTGAGGAGCGTGGAAGTATTTCTTATTTGCTGTTTTTTCCAGGACCACACTAACCCGGGGTGGTAGCACCTATTGGGGTCCCAGCTTAGGTCAAATAGTTAACTCCCAATCTGGGGATAAAATATATAACAATATATTTTTAAAGTAAAAATATCAATCAATACATTTTTGAAAAAAAAAAATTTAAATCCAGCAATACATTTAAAATACCTCTTTGAAAAAATAGCAGCAATACATTTAAAAATATTACCGGCAATACCTCTTTGAATAAAATACCAGCAATACATTTAAGAATATTACAGGCAATATCTCTTTGGAAAAAATACCAGCAATACATTTAAAAATATTACAGGCAATACCTCTTTGGAAGAAATACCAGCAATACATTTAAAAATATTACAGGCAATCACTCTTTGAAAAAAATACCAGCAATGCATTTAAAAATATTACAGGCAATACCTCTTTGGGAAAAAAATGCCAGCAATACATTTAAAAATATTACAGGCAATACCTCTTTGGAAAAAATACCAGCAATACATTTGACTCTCGACAAAATACATCCTTACAAAAATACGCCAATGAAACCTGATCTACAAACTGATTTCTTACAAATACATAGTATATTCATACGGATTTATTCTAAATAATTTGTCGGCATTAAATTAGCCATATTGCTTGATATGCCGTAAAACAATATGAAAACAAATACCATGAGAGAACACTGTTTCGATATCCACCTGTTGTCGGTGACATTTGTTACGGGTATGAAAAGTATTTATATTTCATGCCTTTTTCCTGCAAATCATATTTGCCGGACTCATGTGAGTCCAGGTAAAAATTTAAAAAAAAATAGAATTCTAACAAACAACAATTATTTACACTATTTACATTGTTCGGACTGTTATCCTAATCTTTATTTTCATATTCTCGGCGTTTCGACCGTTGTACACTCCAGCCTTCTTCAGGTGATACATGTTGGAATTTCGAGCCGAAAATTTTATTTCGTGCACGTATATCCCCTGAAGAAGGCCGGAGTGCAACGTTGTGAATATGAGAATATAGATGAGGATAACAGTCCGAACAATGTACATAGTGTAAATAATTTTGATACCACATCTGAGAAATATAGGCAAACAACAATGATTAAACATATTAACAAAACGTGACAGAAGGAATAAAGAAAGAAGCCAAGTTGAACTTATAAACTATGTCTTTGTGGTACCGTATTTGACGGTGTATAAGACGCACCCCAATTTTAGCAGGGCAAATCAAGAAAAAAGTTAGTAATTATCAAAATTAGTCAACTTATTCGTAAATGGTACAGCCTCGGCTATATTTATGAGGTATCATTTTGGTTAAGCACAAGTCATGATTACAATTAAACGAAAAGTAATAGGAAAAAAGAAAAACGAGCTTATAAAAACTTTATGAAAACAAAGTAAAAATCAAATAATTATTACATCTGAGCAAAACATTAGTTATCTTTCAAAATTCAGTCAATTTTTTCTTTTATATGATATCTGAAACCTGCAGCTTGTAAAATACTTAGTGGAATAATTAGGATATAAACATTCTAATTGTATTTATAGCAATCCAACTGGGAGTTATAGCAAGAAAAAAATATTAATGAAACAAATATATTTTACAAATATATAATTTGAATTTATTGCATACTAGCAGCATGGCCCGGCGTTGCCCGTGCTTGATTAAAAAATAGTACGACTAATACCGCAATCGCTATCACTTGACTTAAAATATTTTTGCCCTTCCTTGCCTTTAGAGGAATGCCCTGTGCCGTGCTGATGTTGTTACATGCCTTACTTCTTGCCTATATCACACTGCTAACTTTTTTAAAGCTCTATAGTAAACAGTAAATCTGTTACGAAAAAAGAACTAAACAAAATAAAAGCAATACGATTAGCTTTAAAAAATCGGAAAAAAAACATTTTTATGGGTTGACCTATTGTCAATTTTCACTCTGTTTTGGGGGGAGGTGCTCAGAGTTGAAACTTCACATGATGACTCCCAATGGCCTCTTCATAAATCCGCTCGGTTTTCGCTAAAAACCGACATGCGGTTCAGACGCAATCTGGGCGTATCGGGTTTTGGGGTTTTATCGATTTTCCGCGCTGTTTAGGGGTCCTTGGTCATGAAACTTCTGGACAACACTTCTAATGGTAGACTCTAAGAGGCTGTCAAATTTGGTTGAAATGCGATCATTCCTTCTGTAAGCAGAATTTTTTCGATTATCGATTTTTTCGGAACCTGATTCCGAACTCAAAAATCCGGCTCAGTCATGTCTTTACGGCAGCCATTTGCAAACTTGTGTTGAAAACCGCATCGAAATCGGGTGAGAAATGCGGCCTGGGCGAGGTAACAACGCCCAAGACAGACACACAGACAGATAACATGAGAAAGATAGCTAGATAGCTAGATAGCTAGATAGATAGATAGATAGATAATCTTAGTGAAACAAAATACTAATATTAAACGTGATGAAATTAATATAAGAAAATTTGTCAATGCTAACACTTTTAATCTGATTAATAGCCTTTGAAATAATGACAATAGGTATATAAAAGGTACTCTAAAGTTTAAGCTGATTAGTATTTGCCAGCTAGCCAATTTCGGCCGACTATCGTGAATTTTAAACCTACATATGGCGTATAAGAAGCAGGCGAATTTTAGAAGATATTTTTAGTAAAAAAAAAATGGCGTGCCGTACATGCTGTCAAAGACGGTACTTACATGTCTTATGTCTACCGAAGTGAAGAGAAAATACATATCTCGGTCTCTTCATATCTATCTATCTATCTATCTATCTATCTATCTATCACATTGTGTTCACATCTATCTATCTATCTATCACATTGTGTTCACATATATCTATCTATCACATTGTGTTCACATCTATCTATCTATCTATTTATCTATCTATCACATTGTCTTCACATCTATCTATCTATCCATGTGATTCTGTTTATCTATCTATCTATCTATCTATCACATTGTGTTCACATCTATCTATCTATGTGATTATGTTTATCTATCTATCTATCACATTGTGTTCACATCTATCTATCTATCTATCACATTGTGTTCACATCTATCTATCTATCTATCTATCTATGTGA